AGACAGTCCCCTGTGCTGTGTTGCAGGGTTACAAAGCATACATAATGTATGGTGTGCGTTCTTCATAAAGACATGCAGGTGGAGCACCAACGAGACGTTCAAATGAGGCGATTGAGGTTTGCGCTGCTGGTGGCTTCGAAGATTGAGTCTCTGGAGAAGCAAGTGGCCGAGTTGAAGGGCCGAGTGAACGAGCTAGAGCGCGCAAGGTCGCGTAGCCCACGGCGGTGATCGCACGTGTGGCAAACACGTCATGTTTCGTGTGGCAAAATGGAACTTCGAATTCTGTCATGTGTTGGAAAACAATGGATCCTTGATTTTGCTCGCGTGGATGTATCACACACACATTCAACTTCTTTGTCACGTGTGCGTGCTTGTGCGCTGGAACTTTGAACTCAGTCACGTGTAGGAAACAATGGAACTTGTTTGTCACTTGTGCGTTTGCTCAGATCAAGCAAAGCGTCCGCAAGTTGGCAAGTTGTGGCCATGTCTGATCGCGAGAGAGGTTTGGAGGCAGAGATTTTCGCCATCCTGATTGAGTTGAAGATTTCGCTCGACTGCTTCTACCGCCTGCTCGGGAGGGTGGAGAACACGCTGCGCGTGGAGAGAGCCGGGCAGAGCGTTGCAAGAGACAGGAGCCGGTCACCTCCACGTGCAAGAGACAGGAGCCGGCCACCTCCGACGACAGATGACGATGTCGAAGAGACGATGGTGACAGGCGGTAATGACATTGGTCGTTGATGGAGCTCACTGAAGTGGCGAGCTGAAGAGGCTTTGACCTGAGTGTTTGGACTTGATGGAAAATGAACTGATGCGCTTTGCACAACCTAGCGTTTCAGCGCTGGTGTTGGTGAATGTGTGTTGCGTGTACCTGACCTTAATGTTGGGTTTGAGTCTATTGTGCTCATGTTGGGTTTGTGTCAATTGCTTGCACTCATGCAGTTTGTTGATGTACTCATGCACTTTGTACTCAGTTTGCATATAGTGACAGTGCCAAGTCTGAAGTTTCTCACTGACCCTGCAGCTTCTGCAGAGGTTTGCTCTGGTAAGAGTTTTGGGCTCAAACTTGCCATAGTGTGTGGATGTGTGTGGCAAGTGTGTTCCTCATGGCGTATATGGTCTACGAGTTCATTTTTGTCAATGAGGGACAGCCATGGGATGTGACCGAAACGGTGCGACCACGATGTTTTCGGAAATTGCCTACCAGGCAGGTAGAGCGGATGGATGCGAGAGACTTCCAGGTGCTCTTCATCGACAACCTGCCCTGGAAGCTGGACTTGAGTGAAGGGCTCGGAGCTCGTGGCTGCCACCATGTCCAGGAGACGGACCGTGGCCAGGTCAAGTGGTGGCGCTTCTTGCGTCACAAGGGTGACAGGAACATGTTGGTTCGCCAGCTGATGGCTGGGGTGCTGACACTTTCAGCGTATGTTGGCTACTGTGCTGAGACGGAGAGGATCTACATGTCGCTGCACGCATTGAGCCAGAGGATGGTCGGGAGCGTGAGCTGGCCAAAGAACCAGTACATCACGGTTCGTGCATTGGTCCAGCATATGCACAAACGTGTGTGCGACCGCATGGGAGTCACGATCCGATCCACGCTGAAGGCCAGGTTGGGTTTGGGATGGTTTGGGTATATGTTTGGGTGTTTGTTTGTCACTTGTTAAACCCACGCGATTGTTCGCAGGGTTACACAAGTCTTCAGTCTTTGCAATGCATGTTGAGGCATGTTGGCCCCATGCGATTGTTCGCAGGGTTGCACGAGTCTTGACTCTTTGCGCTCACCCCTGCGTTAGTTTGCAGGGTTTTGAACACTTTCCTTGCACTTTCCTGGCAGGTGCTGTCCACCCGCGTCGCGGCTGAGCTCAGCGGCCTTTTGACGGCGCAGAAGCTGCCGAAGAGCGTCGGGTTCAGGCCACTGCGCAGGGTGTGCCAGAAGCTTCCGCAGGGGTTTGTGAACTTGCGGAACACGTGCCTGGAGGTGGCGGTGTCGACCCGGCTGGTTGCAAAAAGCCGAGCGTGGGAGCTGGATCGTGACTCGGATGAGTCGGAGGAGGAATCCGAGAATGGATCAGATGCAGAACTTGCTCGGTAATCCTGTTGACTTGGAGCAAAGTCTGGAGCAAAGTCTGGAGCAAAGTCCTGGATGGCAGTGGCAATGTTTTTGTAGACGCATGGCAATGGGCCTGCAGCCTGGAGTCTTGTTTAGACGCGTGGCCGTGGCAATGAACGCCAGGCTTGGAGCATGGACGTATAGACGTAGATGTGTCACAATTGAGCATGTTTGTTCTGTATTGTTTGGATGAATGCAATGTATATGTGGATTCATTGAATTTCATTTGTTCTTCAACTTTGTTCGCTATACGTCTGATATACTGTCATATTTGAGCTGTCTGAAAGACATGTTGGTGCCGGCAACAAGCCGTGAAACAGTGAGTAGCCTTGCCTTGCGCGCAAAAGTGCTAGAGCAACTTGGAGACGTGAGCATTGTTGATGTCCACTCTGAACCCATAGCACGCAGGGTTGTCTTGCGTTGATGTCTTGTCACATGAGTTGTTCAAGCCATGGATTTGACTCTCACCCCCGACGCGAACACGCGGCGCGAACAATACCAACAACGTCGCGGCCGATGGGGGAAGCATATGTCCGAAACACTCGTGCTCGGACAAAGCTTTGAGCTCGACAGTCGTGATGCCAACATCGAGGCTTGCAAGGAGGTGAACATGCTTGCGAGTGTGCGTGACCTGAAGCTCAGCATGCAGCGCTTCTCCACAATGCTTGAGAGTTTTGAGACCGCCCTGAAAATGCGCGAGCGCAGCCGCAGCCGTACTCCACCTCCACCTACATGCGCACATGGCGATGACGATCAGATCCCAGAGAAGTGAGAGAGGGTAGCATGGATTTACCCTGCACTTGACTCTGCAGGGTTATAATATACTCAGTGTAAAAAGGACTAAAAAGGTGGCAGTTCTTTTGAATGCGATATTCTTTTGAATGTACACCCATGCAGTTATTGCAGGGTTGCCAGTGCTAATCATGAAGCACCATGTCTGTGTGATTCGGTGATCTTAAATGATGCAAGGTGTGAACATGTGTGAGTGAATCAACCCTGCACTTCACTTGCGGTGGTTTTGGATTCAATGCAAATGTTAGTACTGCCAGCCATGGCATCGCATGAGCAGAAGGTGGCTGAGCATGTGCGTGGGATACAGCAGTTCCTGGCCACGCAGAAGGGCCTGCTGGACAAGTCGAAGTGGGGTGACCTTGTCCAGAAGCAATGCGAAAGCATTGTGGAGCGGATCGGGTCGCATTCCATGAGCATCGATGGCATGAATGCACTGTTGGAGCTCACTGCATCCGGCCCATGGAATGACAGCCAGCGAGAGAGCATCTCCGAAGCGCTCTCTGAGCAGGCGTGCAAGCTGCCTGCAGGCAGAAGACGTAGCCGACCGAATCAAACGCGCAAATCCTTCACGGGCTACTTCTCAGAGCAAGACGCGCGTGCGATGAAGTCGGATGCTCATGGCTGGGGCGAAAAGCTTGACCGGCTTGCAGCTCGCTGTGTGAGAGTGGGGCTCCACCTGCCCAGCGAGCAGACCGTGAAGGAGATCCTGCGAGCCTCGCAGCAGATGGGCCTGAAGCTTGGAGATGACAGGCAGACGCGGTATGAGGCCGTGAATGCCTTCAAGAAGAGCTTGCGCCGCAGGGTGCGCAATGCTGAGAAGCATCCGGTCCACGTGGTTGATTTCCCCGCCAACCCAAAGGACCTGGATGGCTGGCAGCAGATGTATGATGAGGAAGACCCTCCATGTGGCCAGACGGATCTGCCGAGACACCACTCCGCACAGTACAGTGTGCCGTTGAGACAGCCGAAGGAGGCCCAACCCAAGGCAGCCGCAGCCTCGCAAGGACAATGGGGCACGCCCATGGAGATGATGCAGGCGATGATGCAGGTGATGATGGGCAACACTCCACAGTCGAGTTACTCGAGTTCATCTCGAGGCAACCTGCCTGGCTTTAAGATGCTGGGCCATGGCGGAGGCCGCAAAGAAGCTTTGATGTTGGGAGATCGTGGGACTGACTCTCAGGAGCCGGAGTCTCAGACGCCTCCTCATGGCCGTTCAGGTCCAGGTCCATCAGCTCCTGCAGAGAAGGCTCCTGCAGAGAAGGCTCCTGCAGATGACTGCATGGACGTGCCCGCTGCTGAAGCTGACGCTGAAGAGTTTCAGAAGGCACGACAGAAGCGGGAGTCCACGAAGGTCCTGAAAAGGCCTGCAGCAGCCATGTCAGATGGCTATGTGAAGGAGTGGAGGTCCAAGCACCACAAGCAGGTGATCAAGTGCGGCCGGCAGCTGTGCCAATTTGGCGATGTGGCCTTGACACGGGAGCAACTGACCGAGATAGCTGACGATGCCATAGAGAAGATGAGAAAGGGCGCGCTGCAACAAGACGCCTGCAAGGCCTGGTGCGATTCGGCTGTAAAGGCAGCCTTGAAGAAGTGACTGCGATCGACTTGATGGAAAAGGAGATGCGCTTTGCACAACCTAGCGTTTCAGCGCTGGTGTTTGTGAATGTGTTTTGCATGTATATACCTGACGCTTACTGTTGGGTTTTGAGCTTTAATCCTAAAATGGGCATAATTGGGCTTGTTTCTTGCTTGTGTTTGTCAGTTCGCTCTTCCATTTACCCAACGTTTATCGTTGGGTTTGTATTCCAGAGCTTATTGCTCAGTGTGCTTCAATTGTTGGTATATTCATGCAGAATTTGTCGATGTCAAGGAATGCGTAGTGACAGTGCCAAGTCTGAAGCTTGTGTACATTGACATTGCCAGGGTGTTTTTCAAAGGAACATTGAAAAACAAAGGAACATTGATAAAGTGACAAAACAAACACAAATGAGGAACACATGAGCTTTTGAGAGACACATTTCAATGAAACGCAACACAAACATGAAGAACACGTGAGTTTTGGAGAGATACTTTGTCAGATTGCGATGGCGCCAAAGAGGTTGGCCAACCTGGCTGGCAATTCGTATGTGTCCAGTTCTGCGCTGGCCAAGATTTTGGAAAGCGTGAAGCATAATCCAGAGCTGTTGAACGAAAGCACCTCTCGCTACACTTTGAAGCGGCGCCGTGAGGAAGAAGTTGTGGTGACTGGTATTTATGGTGACCTTGTCAAGGAGATGCATTGCACTGGAAAGGACGGAAATCCTGTCACAATTTGCTACGCTGACCCTGTTGTGACGGTGGACCATTTGGCGCGCATTAGCCCCGCGTACAGGGAGACTTTGCGCCACAAGGCGGCCCGGTGTTCGCCGGTTGATCAAGCTTGGCAGATCTGCGTGTACGCGGACGAAGTTCTGCCAGGCAACGTGCTGAGAGCTGTTAGCTCTCGCAAGTGCTGGGCAGTTTACTGGACGTTTCTGCAATTGGAAGAAGCCCTTGGCAGTGAGCTGTGCTGGAACACCTTTACCGTGGCGACCAGCGATCAGGTGAAGAGGCTAGAGGACGGGTTGTCCCAGCTGATGAGGGAGGTGTTTCGGCGGCTCGGAGGAGGATTCCAGGATGGAGTGTACATCGAGGGTGTTGGGATTCTCAAGGCGGAGCTCCGATTGATGATATCGGACGAAGGCGCCTTGAAGCAGACCCTGATGTGCAAGGGGGCTTCTGGAAACAAGTGTTGCATCATGTGCCGCAACTGCGTTCTTCATGCATCTGAGTTGTGGAAGCATGGAGATGGCTTGGTCAGCCATGTCGAGCACGAGTTCGGCAGGTTTCGTCGACATAGTGATGAAACGTTGTGGTCGGTGTGTGACCACCTGGCGGCCAAGAAGCCTCATCTCAGAAAGGGCGAGTTTGCCCAGTTGGAACAAAGTCTGGGCATGAACTTTGGAACGCATGGATGCTTGTTTGATCTTGAGGAGAACCTGGCGCCCAATATCCATGGTTCAGTGGGACTGGATGCACTGCCTACTCGTTCAAGGCATCTTTCAATTGGAGGCGACTGAAGTTCAACCTTGGACGGGGGCCCAGGGTTTTGACACTTCCAGGTTCTGTGTAAACCTTGCGGGGACCATGAAGTCCGCAGGGTTCTGTGTTTGAAACCCTGCCAGGTGAACCTTGCGACGAAGGCATTGCATGCGCATGGGTTCGACAGCACGAACATCCATCAGTTCCTGTCAGGTCTGACGTGGCCGAGTCAATTTGCAACAGAGGCGAAAGCTGCCACAGTGGCATTCAAGGGAAAGCCTGCTGGCTTCACAGCATCGGCCTCTCAGTGTTTGTCTCTTTACGCGCCGCTGCGATACTATATCTCCACACTGGGAGTGAACAATTCTGCTGCATATGTGTCGTTCATTTCCTTGGTGGAATTGCTGGAATTGTTACACCATTCAATGCGGAAGGTGATAGATGCGGAGGAGCGGTCAGTGTGGTTTTCCCTGCAGGGTTTTTTCATTCGAGAATTGCAAGGGTTCATGTTTTAGTTCAGATATAGTTTTCTCAAAGGATTGTTTTTTTTGCGCAGGAGCTCAGCCGGCTATCGCAGAAACACTTGCGCAACTCCAAACTGGCCTATTCTGAAGATGATGTGCTGCCCAAACATCACTTCACACAGCACTTGGGCCCTTTGTTACGTTCTCAAGGTTACCTACTCAGCTGCTTCACGCACGAACGCCGCCACAAGTTCGTGAAATTGTATGGGACTGCATCGCGCAATGTGAATGCGCCTGAGTGTGGATCTATATACAGTTTCTTTATAGGATTATTGTCCTTCAAGTGTTTCTTCGTTTTTGCATTTTTTGTTCAAAGATATAAGTGACTGCCCAGGCCAAGTGGTCGCGGAACCTGTTGTTGGAGACATCCTTGGCACAGTTTCAACGGCTGGAAGGAATGGAGGGCTCTCTTTTGCGCAATGTGGGCTTGGAGCCACCAATTCTACCAGCGCCTGATGTTGTCAGGCAAAGCCTTGAACTTTGCACAGGCATGTCCCTGGCCCACACCATTGTGGAGTACGCGTTGCAAGCGCGTATCCAGTTCGGAACTTGTAGGAGAGACGATTTGGTTCGCTGTGCGAGTGGAAGTGAGGTGGTGTATGGACAAGTTCATCTGCGTGTGAGGGCCGGTGAATGTTGGAGCATGATCAGTCCATGGGAGACTGCTGGAAAGAACCAGTTGAGAATCAAACACGATTCCGTGTGGGTTCCTACTGAAACAGTTCAAGGAGTCCTGACATGGAAAAAGGAAGGCGTGACGGCGTTGATAACGCCGCAAAGGTTTTGACCTTGCAAAAGTTGCAGGGTTATATGTCACCTTGTGCTCCAACAGGGTTATGTCGCTCACCCTGCAAATGTGTAGGGTTTTTCGACTCGACTTGATTCGCGTGTGGAAAGAGCGAGTGGATGAAATTTGTGAATAGATAATATGAAATATATATGAATGAAATAAGAATGTGGTTTTTGATAGTAATAAAAATATTTAGAATAACATAGATTAAATTATACATAGAGACATCGAATATGTTTGTTTGCTCCCCCAACGCAATACCATGGGAGGCCTGGCTCCCCTCTGGGCGTTGGGGGAACTAAAACCCAGGTTTGTTTGCGTTCTTGGTGTTGCGTTTACTCGTGTTTGCGCTTTGTTGTTTGTTGTTTCTTTTTGTGCGTGGCGCTATTCCTCTATTTGTTTGTGTTGGTTGTTTTTGTTATTGCGTGTTTGCGTGTGTGTTGGTGTGGGTTCGCTGTTTGTTTGGGTTCCTTCCGTTCTCGCAACTCGACCTGCCGTTAAAAACTATTCGTAAATAAGTTTTTCATATATGAATGACTATTATATAGTTGCAGAGGTTTTTTGTTCAAATCACATGTGATGTTTTAAATAAGTATCACATACACCTTTTCAAACTATGTACAAACAAACCAACCAACCAAACAAACAGACAGACGTACAAACAAACAAACAAACAGACAGACGTATACAACCAAACAGACAAACATACAAACAAACCAAGAAAGGACGAACAGGGCGTGTTGGATAGATAACGCATTGTTAACAGAATCGGTTCTGGACCTATGCCCTTGAGAGTCGCCATCTTCTTGCAATTTTGGTATCCAACTATATATAGTTCATTCAATCCGGACCATGCAGCCGCAGCGTGAGAGCACTCTCTTTGACAGGAATGCATGAATGATTTCAAGAAGTGCTTGCGCCTTTGGTTTTGTTGAGGGTCAGGTTATGAGCCGTACAGGTGCAGCGTGAGAGCACTCTGAAAATCATGACAGGCATGCAAGGCATGAATGCCTTCAAGAAGTGCTTGCGCCTTTGGTTTTGCTGAGGGTCAGGTTATGAGCCGTACAGGTTATGAGCATAAATATGGTTATCAGCCGTATACAGGGTCCGATTGCTGATCTTGTACGAGGGCCTGAAGGCCGCTTAAGGCAATGAGTCTCAAAAAGAAAACAGATGAAGTGGAAGGGAATGGACAGGAAAAGGAAAAGGATCAGGGAAGGAAAGGGCTGGAAGTGGAAGGTTTCAGGGAAGGGAAAGGACAGGAAAGGAAAGTTAAGGGAAGGGCGAGGCAAGGCAAGAAAAGGAACGGAAAGGAAAGGATACAGGAAAGGATATAGGAAAGGAAACATAGAAAACAAAATGAAAGACAAATGTTTCCAGCGCAAGGAAACAAACGGAGGTGATCCAGAAGATCAGGCAAGGCAAGGCAAGAAAAGGCAAGGCAAGGAAATGAAAGGCAATGTAAGGAAATGAAATGAAAATAGGAAAGGTGCAAAGAAAGGCTGGGGTGAGAAGCTTGACCGCTGGGCTTGAAGCTTGGAGAGGATAGGCGCCAGCTGGACAGGCTTGCGGTGCTGTGCTTGAAGCTTGGAGAGGATATAGGCGCCAGCTGGACAGGCTTGCGGTGCTGTGCTTGCCTGAGAAGCCCCTCCAGGTGAGAAGCGGTTCGCAAAGACCGCTATAGTCAGCTAACTATAGCCAACTAGCCCTGTTCACTAAACAAACCAACAAACAAACGAACCAACAAACAACCAACAAACGACAAACCAAGAAACAAAGAAACGGACAGACAAACAAACAAAATAAACATGTTGTAACTGTATCTACCTATGTACCTATATATGTACACACATATAAATATAGCGCTGCAACAAGCTGGCAGCTGCGATGAAGAAGACCCTCCTCATGACATGCTTGAGACTTCTAAGTCCAACCGTCGGACTTAGGAAGTCCGACTGTGTAACATTGTAAGTCCACTGCAGTTGAAGTTCTGGTGTGGTTACTAAGTGCAACTGCAAGACTTATAAGTTAGTTAGTCAAGCAGATTAAGTTCAACCGTTGGAGTTGTGCAGTAGTAAGATGTTCAACACAAGTTCGCCTCTATATATTTCATTAAGTCTAGCGATGATGAAGTTAGTAAGTCCAACTTTGGTAGCGCGTAAACACTTATAACTTCAACTATTAGTTCGTCAACCACAACAATCACTTACAAGCAGCACCGCGCATCCAAGTAGGTGGGTGCCTTAGCATCTGTCTTCAGGAAACATCCCTGGCCTTGGGAACAGCCCACAAGCAGACCCAGACACTTTTGGCTCAAACAATCATTGCAAATAGCCTGCCGCACATGGAGCTTGACGATTCATCCATGATTAGCACTCCCCCTGAAAAGGAGCCGGTCATGGAATGCTCCCTGATGCTGACCACGCTTTCGGGAGTGACTTTTCAGGTCTCTCTCAGTGTTGCAAAGTTTGACCGCTTTGAGGACCTAGAGGACCAGGTCATGGACTATCTCGTTTCTGTTACTGATCTCAAAGTATTTGGGTGCTCCATTGACTTTTTACAAACTGCCACACAGACTTACCTAGAGGACCCAATCTGGGACAAGCTACAGCAAGGCATGGCATACACCATTGTCTTTCGGAACTGCAGTGTTATCCTGCCATCTCAAGAACAACTTGAGGATTGCCCTATCCATCACATTCCGCTAGCAGTTCATGTCCCCATGAACCCAGAAGAAATTGCCCCAGAAGGGGCCTTTGCAGGGGTTCCACGCCTGAGACACGTCAGTGTAGAGTCAGGCATCAGGCTCATTGGAGCAGAGGCTTGGCACAACTGCCGACAGCTCCGCATAGTCAAACTGCCGGCCACGGTTGTAGGCATTTCCGATAACGTCTTCCGTGACTGCAAACTACTAAACAGCGTCTTGGCTCCGGGTTGTCGAGCTTTTGGGTATAAAGCCTTTGCGGAATGTTGTTCCTTGCAATGGGTGTATGCATCGGAAGGGGTTGCAAATATGTTCAATAGCGAAGCCAAGTTTGGGCAATACCTCTTTCAAGGGTGTATTAACCTTGCTGAGTTTACCTTAAGTGAGCTTCCATCCCCCCGAGGGTCAGCACTGCAAGCTAGGACCGGTGAGTTAACACCGGGCTGTCTTAGCTCTACGGGAATCACCGCACTTGCTCTCACAAAGCATTTGGTAGCTATCGGAGCGCATGCGTGCGACAGTTGCCGACTGCTTAAGAGTGTAGACCTTTGCAACACCAATGTTGAGGAAATTCCGGAATTCGCCTTTGTGCACTGCACTAGTCTCAGAGAAGTCCTCCTTCCGACAACTCTCCATACAATCCGAGTCAAAGCCTTCATGAACTGTGCAGCCCTAGTTGAGCTTGCCATCCCGCCCTCACTGAGGTACATTGGAAGTAGGGCCTTCCTAGATTGCACTGTCTTTAGTAGGCTTGCCAAGATGCCAGGAAGGCATAAATGGCGAGGAGTCTATGCTGAAGAGAATGCTTTCGCCATTTGTCCTGCTATGCGATGGCCACCCTGGCTGCATATGATCCCGGACATGGGATATACCCCTGGTCTTGGATGAAAACAAGCCTTTCTGGCCGCAGCAAGCGCGGTCTCGCAGTTACTCGTTAAGAGTCTGGGCACGCGCCTTAGCGTGAGTCCAGGGTAGGCCAGAAGTCACACCAGGACAAATTCCATAGGGGAGCTGAGAAACATCGCAATTGTACCCTTCCATAGGAGGTTCCACCCATGCGTATCATGGCGATATGCCCGCACTTTGGAGCTAGGGGCAAGCAAAGGAAAAAACTGCACATCGCAAAGGACATGTGTCCCTGAATAAACTGGATAACCTGTCTAGCCCAGGCAGCGCTGAGAGCTGTCGACAGATGCCAGTGATCACAGGGAAGAAAACTGTTCAGACCTGCCAGAACCAGCAACTTCTTTGCGGCTGGAATGGGGGACAAGCAAACCGACAGCGGAGTACGGCAAGTAAGATGCGCAAGCACTAAGTAGGATCACCGACCTCTTCTCGCCATTCGCAACGCTGTGAGCCAATAGGAATGAGAGCCTTAGCTCCTCGTTCCTAACAGGCGGGTGGTAGAGAGTGGCAATGGAGGATGCCCAGGGGGAACCTTAGTTCCCTTTGTTGATGTCCGACATTTCCAATTTTGTACAAAGAGGTACAGATACCACGCTAGGATAGTTTCAACGTCTCACCTGTTTCACACGGGCCTTGCGCGCAGCCGATCACCTTTTGCAATGGTGCAGCATTTCACGGATCTAGAAGACACCCCTTTTTGTTTGTTTTTTGGCACCTTTGAGTGCCAAAGGGTGCTGAGTTGACCTCCCTGCGGGGGGGTGTGCCCTTTCGCACCCTTACCTGCAGGCTTTCGTCGTTTGCTATGGCCGCCACTGATTGATCACCGCTTGGTAGCATGCCACTGGACTTGTAAGTGCAACCAGTTGCACGGGTTGTGCCACAAGAAAGGTCTTTTCCACGGCATGCTGCATAGCTACGCTACTCCATTTGACATGGATGCAACCGACGTTGGAGCATTGCGATACTCCTGACCTGCATCGTGACCATGATTTTGCCGCACCGTGGTGTGGCCGCTGGTCACTTGCAATCGTGAAGTAAAGTCCCTTTGAAGCCTTTTTTGTGACTTTGCTAGAGCACAGACCTGCGCCGATATGCTTTTCGTTCGTGAATTCAGGCCCATTTCTCGTCACTAGTTTTCGTTTCACCCGTTTCACCTAGCACAGAGGAAAGACTACATGATGGTGGAGACTCGGCCTGTGGGCTTTGGGTTGTTTGGTTTGGGTTGTGTTGGGTGTTCTTGTTCTTTTCTCCACCATCAGACTGTTCTTCCCCCCCTTCAACGATGACCTGGGCACCATGCCCACACGGCGTCCGTACTCGTGGAAAAAAAACTGTGTACCAGTCACGCTTTTCGAAGTGCAAGACCTACTGCAGCTGGCGCATCAGC